TGTCTTACATCTTTGCTTGCGGGTGTGGGGCCTAGGGAAACACCGTAGCTTTTATGGCTTCCGGTCATTCATTAAGGATGAGGTGGACTTTCACGAAAGGAAGTCCTATGATGCCAAGATGGAGCTGCAGGTGCCCGGCGAAGCGCCGAAGCCCTTGACGCGTCCCGATCGCGAGCTCATGGCGTTGGTAGATGGCATGCTCGGCGAGGTCTCCTGCATCCTGCTTGGGCCAGGGAGCTGTTTGTGTATTTCATCTTTTGTGTTTCCGTGTGTCTTCGGGTCCAACGGGGAAGAGGTCGCAGTCTCAATCGTCGTAAATCAACTTGAAAATTTATTCTTGAAAACTTAATTCTTCGAGGTATGGGCAAGCCAAGTACCTGCGCCTTCCGTTGCTTCTACGACTCGGAGAACGATGTTTGTGGCCCTTCGCACTTCTGTGAGAAGGTGGGCTCCGGCCCCGCGGACAACCTGGCACCTTTCGGTGCTGAACAGAAGTGCAAGGCGCTGGGTGCAGCAGATCATGAGGCTGCAGATCTGGAGATTGCGAAGAAGCTGGAGGATATGAAGAGAGAGATGTTGGACCTTGCAGAGAAGATGGAACAGAGCCCAGCGATTTCGGAAGAGAGTTCGAGCCGATCTTCCTTGAAGGCATCTGCGGCGATGTTTCAGGAAGTCACCCAGATGCTCGATGTGGTGGAAGCCTTCCCGATGAGACTTGCCCCCGAGGCGGGCGACTTCACTAGAGCTGCGGCACGCGCAGCGAAAACAGACATGAAGCACTGGCGCGGCCGCCCGGACCGGTTGACCATTCCACAGTACAAGAAGGCAGGCCAGGCCAGCATCGCGGACGTGCGCGACTCTCAGGACTTCTCCGTGCCGGCAAAGCTGCACAGCACCTTGGTGGACTATGTCAAGAAGCGCCCCAATATGCTTATCCAGTTCCTCAAGCAAGAGACCCATGATAAGTGCAGCCTCAGTGCCGCGGATGACCGGCGAGCACAGCTGGAGACCTTCGCGGACTACTTTCTGAGTGTGCCTGGCCACAACCTCAATGACCTGAAGGACGTCTCCCAAGGGATCCCAACACCCTGTCGGGATTTTCTCCTCAATGAAGGAGAAACGGATATCCAGAGCCTGATTCAGTCGGCTGAAGAAGGGAAGCAGTTGTTGTCCAACTCGACGAGTGCAGGCGCTGACGGCTTCATTCAGGTGAAGTCGGACCGTTTGGCTCGTGCCCTAGGCTCGGA